AGCTCTGTCTGAGTTTTGGTCCAGATGGGTCTGGCACATCCAGTTGCTGAAGTACAACAGATCGGAGCCCTGCTCTCGGTGAGCCTGCAATAGTTGTGGGTGCTGGTGATAGCAACAAAAGGTTTGTTTGTACCAACAGGCAACAGTGAGGTCAGGCACAAGATGTTGGAACTATTGATGCATTTTTAAGTGCTGAGAATTAGGAATATTTTAACAATTCTGGGAGACCTGAATGTGTAACTTACACTAGGGTCTCCTTTGTGGTATTGTTTCCAATTAAACCACAAGGGCTTGCCTAGTCTAGGTAAAAAAATTACTGTGGTGTTGTCTTATGTTAGTTCCTGAGGGCAAATTGCAGAGACAAAATAGTTGTTTGCCTCAGTAGTGAAGAAGCCCACTACTTGGTAGCCCTGAAGTCCTGAAAAAAGTGGGTGCGGTGTATGTACAATGTAACTACTATCGTATGTAAAGTCTCAGCATTTTAAAGCCCACATCTTCATCAGTTCTACTCTCATACAAACACAGAGGTTTCATGGACTTCTGGCTTCTGTGAATGTAGTAGTATAAGGTACAAAGGGAGCTCCTCTTTTACATCTGGCTGCACTGGCTTCCAAGAGGTCTGTAGGTGGAGCAGAGGCTGGGTGGTTGGTTGATGTTCCTTCCCTGACTGGGAGGAGAGTGGGGCTGTCTGTTTTACCAAAATCTTCTTGTGAATTCCTGCCAGTCTGATTTCTGGATCATAGAAACTACAGTAATTGTATGGGAAGACTGAGGTAGTCATTTAAGATCATTGTGTCAATATGTAGGTGTTGTAAATAGTGTCATTAATCTATCAGTTCCTATGCTTTTAGATAATAAAGTAGTAAATTGGAAAGATCAACTGTAGGTAACACATTTGATTATCTCAGACTGCTTGTGGTGCAGAAGCTGCACCTTTGGCACGTACAGAGAAAAGCTGGTAAGGCCTTTGTGCATTTAAGTCACATTCTTGCTTTGGGTCGCTTGTTTTCACTGTTAACATTGATTTACTTCACTGAGAACTTTCTTTATCCATCTGTCTAACATTCATGTAATAGATGCCGAACAGATCAGGAACTTCAGCTGCATGTGCCTGATTGCCACCCTGTAGCCCATTAAGTTGCCGCTGACCTAATGTAGCCTGTTGTAGCAATGCCCAATTTCTGGATCAGCTGTGTACCTTGGTGAAAAATAACAGGACCTTATCTATGTTAATGTAGTCTCTTCTGCCCTACCCCCCAGATTCTTGATTTTAGTGAAAGTGGTGCCATCAACTTCTTTGTGAAACCCTAGTTTCTCATCTTGCTCATGAAATGGATACCTTGCTGCTTTGATATGGATATACTACTTTTGAAAAGAAAACATCTCCTGTATTTGCCTTGCATTCAAGCACTAACATGCCCTTTATGTCCAGGAAGGCTTGGCAACGATTATCTTTGGTTTTCTACAAAGCAATTGTGTTGTTCACTAAAGTAATATTAATCCTTTTTGAAAACAAAAATCTATTCTTCCTGCTTTTTAGTGCACTTCATTTCCAGCACAAATTTCAGTCCAAGGGCCAAAGACAACCCTGGTGCAAATCTGCTGAGTTCAGTGAGGTTACCCTAGAGATTAGTCTGGCACTACTTATTTGGGATATGGACCTGTGAAGTGCTGAGTGTCCTCAGCTCCCACCGATGTCAGCACCTCATTGACTTGGCTCCTTGTGCTGAGTTCTCACAAGATTCTTAGAAAGTCTTATGCTTCTGACTCTGGTAATATGGTAGCTGTGAAAACTAATAGATAAATATGTGTGCCTTCCCAAACACTTGAGTTTTGTTTCCTTTAAGCTCACAAGTAAGATGCAGAAGCCAAAAGAAATAAAGCAGAATTTTAACATTACAGACTTGCTTTTTGTGTTACATCAATATGTTCCATCAGAAAAAGAAATGCAAATGAGTGTGTTTGCGCTTGGATTGTCTGACAAGGTCAAACCTGTAGGACCACACCTTATACAGGTGGAAATGGGCTTCAGCTGTCTCTGTAATGGAGGAGGCTGATCCTCCCCCTTAGTTTCCAAGTGAAAACTGCATTTCCTTTTGTATGCATTGCTTTTGTGCTGCCTGTTGTTTATGGGTTGCTGTGCATTTCTATGCTGATCATGTAAAGTTCATTGTGTCTGGTAACTGCTCCCTGTAAGAGGGAAATATTAGAACTTGACCCAGCTTAGCTAGGTGCAAGAAACCAGACTTTTCTTTCAGAACTCACTGAAGTGGGCAGCTTTTCTTCTGGTGCAATATGGGTGACTAGAATTAGTATGACAGAGTTTTCATTCTCTAAAGAATGAATTTCAAACAATAAGATAGTTGTCAATAACTACGCAGATGATAATTTTTGAACAGTGAGTCCAACCTTTCCATAAAATTAGATACTGCAGAGCAGCTTGAGCTCAAATGGAGGCTTGGGAACAAACAACTAACATGTAAGAGAGGATTTATTTTTTTTAATGTATGTAAAGCTGATAGAACCATATGGATTCTCCCCTGCTTTTGCTGATACAGTTCTGTATTGTAATTTTGCGGAAGCTCAGGTTGAGTAGTTAAGAACTCGCCTCAGAATGAATGGAGCTGCCCCAGAGCTGACTTTTGAGGAGTCCTTGGTTCTCAAGCTTGGGCTTGATTTTTCACTTCCTGGAGAAAGATAAAGCAAGGTCATCACTGAAACAAGAGTCCACAGAGCAATTGAGCCCGTCTGTCTTGCAAATGTTTGAAAAGACAGCTGAAAAAATCATACCTTCTTGAGTCCCTCTTGCCTGTGACAGTAAAGTGGATCCTATCCTTCCCTGAATTATTTCTGAGGGAGCAAAAAATTCCTAGAGATGAAGGCATGTGCTAAAAATATTTTGTCTCGAAATCTCATGTTTATATATATTACCAGCACTTTTAGGTATAAAACACACAAGATGCTTCTCTGTGGTCAAAGGTTAACGTTTCAGGGTTTTTTCTTAAAGTAACTTCACTCCTTCAAAAACTGTGTTAGAAGCAGAGCTTCTCACTGTGGCTAACTTCATGTGTATAGCAAAGTATGTGTATGTTTGAGGTGGTTTTAAAGCACTTGAAGGTGTTAACTAGTGCATATCTGCTGCAGTTACCTGCATACTATGGTGTAGATGTGCATTATCAGATACACTGCATGTTGTTTTGCATGCATCTATTTTGGGGGGTTTGTAGACAGCTATAATGACCATTTGCACACTTTAAGGATATGCACTTCTATTACGTGCCCTGTGAAAACGTGACTTCTTGTCTTTCTGGTTGAATTGTGACTACTGCCTGTTTTCAGACACTGTTGGCAAGTGCTGCCTGCCTGCAGTTCATAGTATCAAAATGTGTGGTTTGGTTTTAATGATAGTGTGGTAGGGGTGGGAAGGCATAGAGAGGTTAGCTAGAACCAATCTCTTCCTGTCAGACTATTTAATTCTCTCCCTCCCTTTTAGATATTAATACCAGTGATAATTTCTTGTCCTATTCTCAGATCAGACTCCTACGCCAACACGCTTTCTGAAGAACTGTGAGGAAGTGGGCCTCTTCAATGACATCGATTGCTCCCTAGAGCACGAGTTTAGAAAGGCGCAAGAAGAAGAGAACAACAAAAGGGTGAGTGTGAGCACACTGAACCCTTCCTCCCCTTTGTAGCAGGACAAAAAAAAGCGTGAAAGCGGATTGAGCTCTAGTACCTGGTAGTAACCTTTTGGTTAGAAACTAGGTGGCACTGTAAGTTGTGACATGCTTTCTAAACTATTGAAACAGTTGACAAAAAAAGCAAACCCCAAACCAACAAAAAACCAGCATTACATTTCCAGAAGTGCGTAACTGTGTTTGCCAGGGTTTGATTCCAAGTCCCTGCTTTTAAGCGACCCATAATACAAACCACACACCTCTTGAGGGAGAGTCTTGGGAAAATTATATCATCTTTAAAGTGAGGATTGCAAGCTTGCTCAAATATATTACACATAAATGTGGATTATGAAGAGTCATTTACTTCTTAAAAAAAAAAAAGTTTTGCTCTTTCCTCTGCAACCCGATGGGCCCCTGGATTTCTATGTTATTGTTATCAGCTTTATCATGTTTCTGTATTTCTTACAAAGTATTCATGTTGAAGGAGGAAACTTTAACTTGTAGTACCTAGTAGATAACCTATCTCATTTCCAATTAGTATTCTTTTAGTCTCAGTATTTGTAAGTTTAGGTTGAATTATACAGGCCACTTTGTATGGGGTTAAGTGTACTCCTGTGCCCAAAGATTGTTAGAGTGTTTTGAGGGATCCTGAAGTGCTATTAAAATTTTCAGGGATTGTAAAAGAGCTTAATGCACTACAGAGGCCAGCAAGAGGTATTGGGTGAAATTTTAACTTTTCAAATAAGCATCCAAAGTTCTGGTTGCTTTTGAGAACTAAAACACATGAGTAATGTGGGGCTTCCTACAAGAACATATTGCTCCATGCAGCCCTCCAACAACCTGCCCAATGCCTCCCCTTCACAATGTTCCCTTTTGTGTCTCTGTTTTCCCCCTCCCATTTCTGCAGCTCTTGGAAATTCTTAGGTAATGTGTCCCCTGCCATAGGACTTCCCCACTTATTGAACACACTGTTATTTGGCTTAGTTCTCACGGTAATCTCTATTTGTCTAATTTGAACATTAACTGGGACCATAGACTAAAAATGGGAAAAGGCAGCCACAAAACGACTATGGTGCTAAAGGCAGAGGGCACTTCTCCTTGGCTTGCCTCAGCATAATTTTGGCTTTCAGAGTGTCTGTGCCTCCAATTGCAAGGTTTTCCTCTGTAGGTACTGTTTCTTACTGCTGCTGTATAGTGTCATTTGCTTTGCCTGTCGGTGATTGCTGTCCATCTCGAAATTCATACATGCAAGGCATATGTGTGCTGCTGGGGCTTGTGAGATCTAGAGGTAGCAACATTTAGGGATCTTGAGCTCTGCATAGTAAAAACCCAAGAGATCATTTTGGATAAAAGAGGTAAACCTGATTGCTGAGGTGAGGAATGGGAGATGACGCTTGAGGAGGAAACCTAGGAGTGGTTTGGTTTTGACTTACAGGGGAGACAGTCTAGGGATGACTTATTTGTGGCTTATAAGCAAAGAGGCTGGGACAGACAGGCGAGAGACTGCAGCATGGTATGCTGAGCAAGGAAAAGGAGCCCAAATGTGAGTGTGTCCAAATTTTGGTCAAGGATTGGGAAAATAGCCCAGACTGACCCTGACAGCTTTGTATGCAGGATGAATGTTAAGAAACAGGCAGGTAATGAGATACTTCTAATTTTAGATTTAGCTTGTTAATATTTTTTTCTTACGTGCTGCAGAGGGGAGACTTGGCCAAAATCAAGTAGAACATGTCTGTAGGTTCCTATTGCTTTGTGAATTAGACGATTCCTAAGGGCTCTTTCTGCATGGTGTTTATTTTGCGGAAGCAGGAGATGAGGAGAAATCTACTGAAGTGCACTTCTGTGCAGTTAGCCACTGATTGCAGCGTGTGATGTTGCAGAATCCGCTGCAGTTTACAAGGGGTAGCTGTGCCATCTGATTAAAACCTACGCAAGGGCAGCGAGCTACCTGATAATTCCAGTTGTTTAATGGCCTCTGGAAGTCTTATTATGCCCTACTCTTACCAACCCCTGCAGCTGCCATTGGCGATCTTCAGGGAACAAATGAGTGGTGGTGGGGGAGGGAAATAAAAAAAAAAAAGAGGGGGTGAAGAAAAGAAAGTTAAAAAGGCAAAAGTCCCACTATCTAACTAACCTGTAACATTTGCTCTGTGTTTCCAATTAGTCTGCTGTATGTTCATTCTTACATTACTGACTGACTGTCAGATAGGAATCTGAAGCGGGCCCCAGTAGGGCTTTACATAAATGCAAGAGGCAAAGGCTGCGACAGAAAGGGACTCTTCGAACTGCAGCTATCGCTAACGAAATGCTGCTAGCAGCCTGTCTCTGGAATATGAGCGCAATGTAGCCTTGTCCTAATGGACCTACCAACAGTTGGAGACTTAAGACTAGCTGCATGGAAATCTTCCTCGCGGCTCAGAAAACTTCCAAAAATATTTATGGTTGTATTAATTTCTCTGGACTCTGAGAGAAATAGTTTTGTTTATTTTAGTATATCACTGTGGCTTAGCATGCAGCTTGACACTGAAATCTTGTACAATAAAAATACTTTTTTTTTTTCTCCTTGAGAGTCATAATTTGAAAACTAAAGTTCAATTAGCTGTGTTCTTTCTTTTTTTTTTTCTTTTTCTTTTTTCTCTTCTGAGTGGAAGCCCATGGGTAATCGCTGAAAATTTGTTGTGATTAAGCTGGTTACGTGGACTGGTGACATTCCAAATTAGCTGTGAAGTGCTGAGTGCACAGTTTTAGGAACACAGTATATAGCTTTTTTTGTAAAGGTAATTATTGAAGGGAAGGCACTTGCATTAGTAACCTAGCTGCTTATCCAGGAACAATCACTTAAGCAACCATGGCATAAAGATGTTGTGTAAAGTGGGAGTAGTGTCCCTTTCTGCGTCCCGTACTTGACATGTCTTATGATTGTAAGCTCATCTGTCAAGGACCATCTCTTAAAATATGCATGTGTTAGCCTTTGCCTGGGGACTGAGTGGACTTGAGTAATAATGATGATGATGACCTCCAGGACCTGAACTGAAATAAGAGAAGTAAAGTTATAAATGGAAGCAAGAGTATCAGTTTGGTTTGGCTCCTCTGTTGCCTGTAACATCGAATATTAGTGAAGTCTCTGCTTGAGAAAGGTCTATCCCTAAATGCAAAGGATTCTATAGGCATATTGATAAGCATATGAGAAAGTGGCTTTTTGCATCTTCTTGATGGCAGTCTTCCTGACACAAGCATCCTACCTGCCAAATTCACCACCAAAATTAGCACAGGTAAATGCATACCTATACTATATTTCTGCTTGTGAAAGTGTAAATATTAAAGCTCTTAGGAGTTTCAGACAGGCAGCAACTTACACCTCTGGCCCAGACAAAATACGTGCAACCCAAATCAACAAGGCAGGGAGTGCTGGCAATTCAGATGACCATCGTGGCCTACTGGGTGTAGCTTTTAGGCTTACACTACTCAGAGCATTAAGTATCCAAAGCAGTTGTAATGTGTTATACTTGCAAACATGTGACCTTTGCTGCTACTGTATAGGCCCTGCTGTCGTGTCTTGTTTTGAGCGTTGAGGTTGGGTCTGAGAGGATACTGTCAAAGATGGGAAGACTCAGGATCTGTTTCTCAGTAACTAATTGTTTGCTGCTTTATTAAAATGCATCTTGTCTGGCCTCCCTGCATGAAATGAGAGTGGAAATATGCTCAGCGTAGCATGTAGAATAGTACTACATCAAGTAGTATTTAGAAATAATGAGTTGAATATGTTCAACCTGAGGGCATTTTAAAAATCACATTCTGCTTATGCTGGGATTTGGATGCATCACTTCTTAAGGATTTTCCTGCAACTTTGAAATCTTCTAACCAGTGTTCAGCGCTGTAATATAATATGTACACTATGTAGATGAGGCAGGGGAATGGCTGTTCTCAACTACAGCTTGGATTTAATGTGGGTTATTCAGTGTCAGTTTGGGAAGCTCATGATCAGCAAGTCTTCTACATGGCTAAACATTCCTGTTCTGAGTGTACTGTCCCACTGCAGGCACCTCACTGCTAGAAAAGCATCAGCCAATTGAAGTAGTTCAGTAATGAAAAAGAACAAAAACAAATACAGAGCATTTGGTGGTTGAAAAAGTTCAGTCCACAGAATGATTAAAAAGCCTGAGTATCCAGTTTAGTTGTGGTAAGCAAGGGATGATGTTACAGTCTGATGCATATTTGAAAGGTATAAATTTGGTTTGTACCTTCCGAGTTCTTCTACCTTATATAGCTTTCTGTGTATCAGCATAAAAAGGTAGATAAAATGTGCTTGGATAGCTTATACTACCTCACCATTTCATGCTGAACTCCATGACAAATACAAACCAACAAACTCATAAGCCTGATCCTGGAGTGCTTTTGACTCATTGACTGACAGTCTGTATAGCAGAAAAAGGTTAAGAGCTATGTTTAAATGCTTACTATTTATTTTTTTTCATAAATACAGATCTATACATTCTCTTTGCATTTGTCTGAACATGGTGTAAGAATGTCCATATTTTTTTCAAGTTGAGGGTTCCTCTGACAAGTTTATTCTCCCACTGAGATTGAGTATCTTACATGGTGGGTATGTTATAGCAGATGGAAAATAAGACTAGGAATGATTGATGTTAATATAGTGCTTAAAGGCTGGAGTACCCTTGTTGCAGGTATTGTAATAACTTCAAGCAGTTACTTTATCAATCAGTTAAGCTGTTGTCAAGGTGATAGCTCAAAACTCTTAAATTCAAAGTCCAAAATATCACCCCAGATTCAAAGATTTCAGTATAATAGTTCCTATACTCAGAATATAACATCTGTATTTGTGAATATGTGGTCATCTTCACAGCATAGCATCACTTCTGAGTGATGTCTTAAGGTACTGTAAAGATACATTATAACTCTGTATCAGAATTTTCCAATGGGTTATTCTGAGTTTTCATGTGCATTGATTGCATCAGGTT